CCCCAAAACCCCAAAACCCCAAAACCCCAAAACCCCAAAACCCCAAGAAATATCGATTACATAGAATACTATATTTTAACAAATTCTTAATCATGGAAGTTGGCAGAAATGTCCATGAAACCAGAACAATGGAAGAGGCTATAATCTCTGAAAGACACACCCTCAAGAAGGAAAGAGCTATTGAAAAATCCATATCCCTAAATCTGCTGGAGAAACATGAAATGAAATACCCAATGCAGTTCAATAGGCTCTGCTTAAACATAGCCTTTGATAGGAATATTGACCAAAATTATGCGAAGGAAATAACGAAGATCGGACGAATTGGATTAAGAAATCTAGCAGAGGTTATTTTTAACTATATTCAATCTAAGAAATCAAAAGTGACAAAGTCGCTCCTCTTAAGTATTCCTAACAGAGTAAACAAGGTCTTATTTGACAATTTCTCTTTACAGAGGTATAAAATATTTCGCTACTATGCTCCAAACTTTACTAAGGTGTTGCCGAGCGTTACTAGGATAGTTTCACTTGTAGGATGAGAAATTACCTCAAGTCACTTCAAATCGTTACTCTAGCTGCATGCAATGCACAGGAGTTACGTTTTATTAAATGAAGGATATACGCTAGTAGCTTAAAATTAAATATTAACAGGCCTTCAAAAATCAAGATTCTCACATTTATCGAGTGTGGAAAACAAAAATATAGCAATTGGAAACATTATCCAGAAGCTTTTGAATGCATAATGAAGTCAACCTCTAGCTGAGCAATCCTTGACTCCTTGGAAAAAGTTGAGTTACTCGATAACAGCATTGCAATGGCAAATCTTAATACTATAATTACGAATTACTATCAGGGGACCAGACCTAATACCAAGAAAGTGAATTTTGAAGTATTCGATGATGAACTTAAGATTTTCAGAGAGTTTCGTTATTCTAATAACATAAATTAATTTTCAATTCGATTGCACTGCTTTGGGGTTTTGGGGTTTTGGGGTTTTGGGGTTTTGGGG